GCCTTCCCCTTTCACGGAGCAGCCGGGCCCAGGGCTCCTCGGTTCCCCCCCTCAAGCCCCCAAATTCAGCCGCCTGCTTCTCCCTGCTCTGACTCCGCTTCTCGCCGGGCCCAGCGCCCGCCCCTCTTCCTTTAGCCTTTTTCTTCTGAGCGCCCGCAAGCCCCACTCCCACCCCCACCCCAGAAGGAGCAGAGGAGAGGGGGAAAGTCCCCTGCGGGCTACCCAGGCTGGGGAAGGAGATAGGGCGAAAACCTGCTGCCTCCTCTCCGCCGCCTGCTTCTCCCTGCTCTGACTCCGCTTCTCGCCGGGCCCAGCGCCCGCCCCTCTTCCTTTAGCCTTTTTCTTCTGAGCGCCCGCAAGCCCCACTCCCACCCCCACCCCAGAAGGAGCAGAGGAGAGGGGGAAAGTCCCCTGCGGGCTACCCAGGCTGGGGAAGGAGATAGGGCGAAAACCTGCTGCCTCCTCTCCCAGCCCCCAGGAATAAACCAGCAAGCAGGATGGTGCCTCCCCCTCACGCACCCAGGACAAGTCGATGGATGGGGTGCGCTCCCCTCCCCCCCCCCGCTAGTCTGCAGAGAAGCAGAAGGACGGGGTGTGCAGCCCCCTCCTGTCCCATGGACAGGTTGGCGGCACGGTGTACTGTCCCTGCCAGCCCAGCCCGCCCCCCTGGGGAAAAGCCAGCCACCTGCATTCTCCTGCCCTGAGCCCTCCTACTCCCCTCAGCTCACCCTTCTCCCAACCCCATGCCCTGATTCCTGCATCCCCACCTCTGTCCGCCTCACCCTCACTCTGGCACCTCACGCATCCCAAACCCTCTGCCTGAACTCCTCCTCAAGCCCCCACCCTGACTCCTGCATCCCTCACCTCTGCCTTCCTGCCCTGAGCCCCCCACATACTCAGGGCTCTTCCCCAATTGCCACACTCCCCGCACTGCCAGCCTTCTGCCCTGAAAGACCCAGGAAATGCTGGGTAAGCCTAGTTTGACAAATGTCAGCGAAGTTAATCAAATATTAGAGTTGCCATACTTACATTAAGGAATGAAGGATGAGAAAGTTAGCTAACATCTGTAAAAATGGTGACGAGAAGATGTGTTCAAAATGGATGGGCACAGCAGCCAAGAGCAACACTCTCCTATATCTCCCATTCATAGTATGTGTGTAGGAAGAGGGTCCCTTAAGATTAAACCTGCCTATCTATATATGTTAGAGCTTTTATGAGTCTGTGAGTCCGTCCATCTGTGAGTCAATTTGTTCAAGAACTCCTAAATGACAAGAGCTAGGGCCACCAAATTTGGTATGCAGATGTCACTGAGGAGAGGAAAGTCATTGGGGCCCTGCTCCCCCTCATCCACAGTCAGATGTGATTCAGCCAGCCCGCAGAACAAAAGGTTTATTAGTTGACAGAGATACAGCATAGAACAGACTTGTCAGCACGGAAACCAGAAGCAGTCAGTACAATCCATCTTGGGGACAGGGTGCTCAGAGTCCCTCATCCCATCTCTGCATCCCAAGCCAGCAAGGGCCCTCACCCCCATCTCTGCACCCCAAGCCAGCAAGTCCAACTTTTGCACTCAACAGCCTCTATCAGCCCTGCAGCTGGCCCCACTTCCAGCCTTTGTCCTGCTTCTCCAGGCAAAGGGTGGCATCAAGTCACACTCCCTCCTAGGCTTGAGTAGGGTATGTCTACACTGCATTCCTCTTTCGAGAGAGGAATGCAAATGCAGATGAATGAAATTACAAATGAAGTGTGGATTTGAATTTCCCATGCTTCATTTGCATAATTGCGTCCGGGCACTATTTCAAAATACCCTATTTTGAAAAAAGAAACGCTGTCTAGACGCAGTTATTTTTAAAGAAAACCCTTCTTTCGAAATAACTCTTAAACTTAACCTAACATGACCCCCCAGAAGAGACATCCTCTCCCAAGGAGAAGCAGAAAACAGTGGCTCAGTCCCCTCCTTTGAGGAGACTGCAGCCTAGTCCTCCCCCCCATTGGAGGGTGTGTGAGGGGGGACAGCTGGAAGCTGAGGCCAGCCTTCCCCCCAGACAGCATGGAGGTAGGGGGGAGCCGGAGGCTGGGACCATCCTGTGGAACCCCAGCATCTCCCCAGACAAGCTGAAGGTTGCAACCAGCTGGGGACTGCAGCCCCAGTCCATGGGAGAAGCCACCAGCCAGGACACGCAGTCCCAGCCCCCACTCCCAGGAGACAGAATGCTAAGTTTGGTCCATTGCTACACATTTTAGTTTTAGAATTTGAGAAACTAGCAGTAGTCAGAGATAGAAATGTAGCCGTGTTAGTCTGGTGTAGCTGAATCAAAAAACCGAACTATGTAGCACTTTAAAGACTAACAAGATGGTTATTAGGTGATGAGCTTTCGTGGGCCAGACCCACTTCCTCAGATCAAATAGTGGAAGAAAATTGTCACAATTGTGACAATTTTCTTCCACTATTTGATCTGAGGAAGTGGGTCTGGCCCACGAAAGCTCATCACCTAATAAATGATCTTGTTAGTCTTTAAAGTGCTACATAGTCTTGTTTTTTGATTTAGCAGTAGTCACACATGGTAGTTCTGTTTCTGTCCAGCAGAGGGTAGCAGTACACAGGCAAACATCACTGGTACCAACACACAGAGATGACAAAACATTGCATGTTTTTCCAGTTATAGACTAACTCGACTGCCCCCTAAAGCTATTGCTAATTTATTTGTGTAACACTCCTGAGACCCTTTGATATTAGAGCAGTAACTCTCTAACAATTTGTATAGCGTGGGCGAGTGCTGAAAACCAATGAAAAAAAACATAAACCCTGTATATGATGTAAACCACATTCAGCCAGTGGGTGCTGCTGCATCCCTAGAACTCCTATAAGAGAGAGCCTCAAAGATGGATGGAAATGTTTTTCCCCCTTTTCCTTCACCACTAGATGTGCTTCTGACATAGGACTTCTACTCACTATTTTTATCGAATATCAACACTATTTTCATACCCAGACCTCTCCCATTTACATCTCTTACCAGCTAAAGTATTGTGCCCAGAGCCCTCTTCAGAATGAGGTGACTCCATAACAGTCTCTATAGTTGCAGAAGCATCAGTCAGGTATGACCAGGGCCTTCTTTCAACAGCTTTTTAAAAATTACTCCATAGTTATATTCTACCATCAGGGTAAGGAGAGGTTTTTTTCTCTAGCTTGTTGAGATCGCTTCATGTTCCTAACATGACTAACATCAACACCTTACTTCAATTGGCAACTTTTGCTACCTCATTCACCTCCCTTTTTTTGTCAGCAATAATCATATTAAACAACACCAGACAAAACCCGAAGACACTCTGCCTTAACCTTTTGCCAGGATGAATACTGACCATCAGCTCAAATCAATGAACTCTAAGGGCATGTCTACAGTACAGGGCAAAAGTCAAATTAACATACGCAACTTCAGCTGTGTCAATTGCGTAGCTGAAGTCGAAATAGCTTAATTTGGCTTTTGGCTCTGTCTACACAGCAGGAAGTCAAAGGAAGAACACTTTTCTGTTGACTTCCCTTACTCCTTGTGAAATGAGGATTACAGGAGTCAGAATAAGAAGTCTTCCATCTCAAAATTATTTCAAAATAACGGATTGCGGTGTAGATGCACACTTTGTTATTTCAAAATAACGTCAGTTATTCCAAAGTAACACTGCTGTGTAGACATACCTTAAAGGAATTTCATACAAGGCCACAGAAAACATAGGATGTGTTTAGGACCAAATTAACTACTGAAGCTGATCATCCAAAAAAATGTTCAAGGTGTTTAACACCCAGAGCATTCAGAAAGTTTGGATCTAGAGCAGAGCTCAGTTTGAAATAATGGCAGATTAAGAAAAAAAAATCTCAAATAGGCACAGAAACTTTGATATACTAGTCATATGTTCTACATATTCAGCTAAATGCTTCTGTCACGTCTATATAGGCCTAATAGCAGAATTTGGTCCATTATTTACTGAGTTCTCATTATTTCTTTATTTTGCAAATTCATTTGTGAAAGTCTAAATCATTTGAATCTATGCATTCCCAAATGTGAAAGGCAATGAAATACGTGATAATGTAGCATCAGAATGAAGTTAAGATTTAGTATTTGCAGTATTTATCATATTTTAGCTTTGCTCCCAGTTCAGTTCCCGCTGAACACTCTTCAAATTTGGCATCCATTTTCTGGCTCTGAGCTTCAGTAAAGAGGTTCTTCCAATCTCCAATGCCACCTGCACATGAACAATGAAATAAATTATAACATCACAGGTGAAGGGTCCTTATTAAACTTATCCACCTGAAGGTGTGTGGGGGGGGGAACCCGGGTCCATTGGCCACTTGACCAGTCCTCCATCCCAGGCTCTCCCTCCTCCAGCCGCTCTCCCCCATGCCCATGGGAAGCAGCCACTCACTAAATGGCAGCCAACAGCAATGCAACATTACAGGGGTGGGAGGACTCAGGAGAAGGGGGCAGCACAGCCATGCAGCCAGCTGCCAGAGAGAAGCAATGCTCTACTGCTTCAACTTGCTGCTTTTTCTTGCGAGCTGTGCAGCTTGTGGGCTCTCCATCCCCTGGCCACACCCATCCCCACTGCGGGCAACCACGGCCAGCCACTCTCCCCAACCTGTGGACAGCCACCACTCACCAGAAGGCAGCCAGCAGCATGATCACGGGCTGGAAGGCTTCAGAGGAACACTGGGTCGCTGCACAGCCTATGGCCAGAGGGAAGCAGCACTTTCCCACTTCAGAGCGCTGCTTTTCTCTGGCCAGCTGTGGGGCTGCCCCACACTCCTCTGAACCCTTCCAGCCCATGTTCGCGCTGCTTGCCACCTCCTGTTGGCTGTCCTGAGGCTGCAGCCTGCAGATGAGCCTCCCTGCTCTCCTAACCCCATGCACCCCTCTGCAGAGTGACCATCCCGTGTGGAGGGGGTGCCGTAACAGGGTCCACCCGCTTGTGAGTGCCCCTCTGTGGTAAAGGGGTGCCGCATAAGGTCTCTGCTTAGTCATCTTCAAGGTTCTTGTAGGAAGCTTGTGGCCAGTCTTCGGCCACTGGACCTGGGCCTTACCACGGTCTAAGTTCAGCTTGCCCTCGGAGCTGTCTATAGTGCTGCTGGTCTCCAAGTCAATGTATAACCTGCCTGCGTTGAGCTCCTGTGAAAAACTGCCAGGCCCTAGCCCAGCAGCTTCTTTTATACCGGACTGCTGGGTCCTGATTGGCTGCCATAAAGACAGCCATTCTATCCTGCCTGGAAGACCTCTTTTCTGCTCCTCTCGCTGGGACGGGGTGTGGCAAGGACTCTAGCCTCCTGTAGGGGCATCAGGGCTTAGTCCACCCCATCACAAGCGTTCATGGCCTTGAAATGACTATCATCACTCCATATAAAAGTACCTTTTCTGAAAAGCATGGGAGCAAATTTGCCATGTGTTTCTTGGGATTTGTTGCTCATGGATTCGAAGGTGGCATTCTCTGCAATAGACTGAATCTTCTCTTCAGGCAGAGAGAACCCCAAAAAATCAGCTATTTGTTTCACTCCTCCATGTAAATTCTGAAACACAAGAGTGTGCTGGAATTATGTACGAGTCAAAGAAAATATGCCAGACATTTTCTTCTTCTCTTTTGTCAAATGAATGTGGCAGATTTTATCCCCCTCCATACACAGAGCAGAACAGTAGAACAGTATAGTAGATTCAGCAGCAAGATGTTGCAGAAATGAGTGGTTAGTTTAGTCAAGATTTTGGTATCCGTCTTCCCTTCTCCAAATGGAAATGCGTTAAAAGGATACTCAGTCTTTTGCATATTTCTCTTTTAGTATTTATTTCTACTGATTACATTTGTTTAGCAGCATCAATGGGTAATACAAATGGATATTACATGCCCTTAAAAATATAAGACCTGCAAACATACATATGCTTAACTTTCAGAATGTGAATAGTCTCACTAAAGCAAATGGGACTACTCACATGCATGTGTCTTAGCGGGATCAGGCTTGAAAATGAAGAGGGGGAAGATGGGCTGCAGATAGAAGAGTCAATAACCAGTGGGAGAAAATGGCTGCTACATCATATGCCTGTCTTCCCCTAGCCTTTGAATTATACTCTAAGGCTATATCTACACTCACGGCTTCTTGTGCAAGTATGGCCGTTCTTGCGCAAGAATCCACAGAGCATCCACACTGCCCGCCCACTCTTGCGCAAGGAAATTTACACTACAGCGTGGTAAGGGAGGCTTCTTGCACAAAAGCTACGCTCTTTTTTAACAGGTGTAAGCCCTCTTGCGCAAGAGGGCAGTGTGGACGCTCGGCAGGGATTTCTTGCGCAAGAAAGCCCTATGGCTAAAATGGCCACCAGAGCTTTCTTGCGCAAGAGAGCATCCACACTGCCGTGGGTGCTCTTGCGCAAAAGCACAGCTCGCATATGGCAGTGTGGACATTTTCTTGCGCAAGAGTTCTTGTACAAGAACCCTTGTGCAAGATGTTCTTTCGCAAGAAGCTGCCAGTGTAGACATAGACTAAGGTTTTACCTGGCACAGAGTGAAAGCTGGACTGGACAGGATACTTGTGAATGTACTGAAGGGAACAATTAAGTATACATACAGGTTTTCCCATTTCTAATTGCTAGAAAAATTCACCTCTTTCATTTCTTCATACGTGATTATCATGATATTCTCTTCATCCATGTGTTTGTTCCAGGAAAGAGCATGGTCATAATATGAACCCCAGGTGACTGAAAAGAAATATAGGAGACAGGCTATAAATTTCATCTTGGGGTAAATTAAATATACTTTAAATTATGTTCTTTTTAAACCTAACTTCAATATAGAGTCCTGGTGAACTTAGATATTTTAATCCTTTAACTGCCTCTGGGTTATTAAAAGTCATTCGTTCTGGACTTGACTTTTCACGTTCTCCATGCAATTTTTTTTTTCAGAATAAATCCATACATCAAGATTCTACCTGGCAAGTATACAACAAATGAATTCTTTAATTCCTTTTAAAGTCATTATGAAAATAAAAGTGAATGTAAATTCAGAGAACCCAGACTGTCTATCTCCACTCCACACTGTAGGCTCTGCAGTATAAGATTAATCCTGCAGAGCCCGCAGCACAGCCACACCTTGTGCTGCGGGCTCTGCAGCATCGTAGCTCCCTGGGATTGGGGCTGGCAGCCAGACCATGCCAGGAGCCAGCTTATACTAGAACCATATACTTCAGAGCCCACAGCATGCAGAATTATAGAACACTAGAACTGGAAGGAACCTTGAGAGGTCATCAAGTCCAGTCCCCTGCCCTCACAGCAGGACCAAGCACAGTTTAGCTCATCCCTGACAGGTGTCTGTCTAACCTGCTCTTAAATATCTCCCTTGATGGAGATTCCACAATCCCCCTAGGCAATTTATTCCAGTGTTTAAGCACCCTAACAGGCAGGTTGTTTTTCAAGAACAAGCCCAGTTCTTTCAGTCTTCCCTCATAGGTCATGTTATCTAGACTTTTAATCATTTTGTTGCTCTTCTCTGGAACTTCTCCAATTTCTCCACAACTTTCTTAAAATGTGGTGCCCAGAACTGGAACTCAAACTCCAAATGAGGCCTAATCAGTGCAGAGTGGAGCAGAAGCATGTAGCCATGTAACTGATAGAATTTTTAATGATGATACCATTCCTTTTTAAAAAATGTTTACATCCCCAAATGCTACCACCGCTATTTATACTCAAACTAGCTCAATGAGAGTCAGCCTGAAATATGTGTACATGAGAAGAGGAATCACACCCCTAGTTCACCATGTAGACATAGCCTAAAGCAGATCTACCTGCTCAGAGACAAAGATGAAAGAGAGAAAAAGGAAGCTGAGAACAAAGTGGGAGAGATTCACATCACTAGTTGTTTAATATGGGAAATGACAAGGAGAAGGTGCTTTCCGGAGGAAGAGTAAAGTTGGCATTTACCCTTTGTGTGCTGGGGCTGAAGTAGAATCCCAATATAATATACCAGCCTGGTTACTTGAATGGTTCCACACCAGCGTTACCAGGGCTCAGTACTGTGCCTGGGTTGGGCACAGGAGAAGCACCTTCAACTTCTCAGCACCAGGTACCCCACCCAAAGCATTAGTTTGAAACCATTTGGGGATTAATTTCAACAGGATAGTCACAGATTCTGCTTTTGGACAATAGACCAAAGAAGAGTTGAGAACATTGTTCTAGAGTCTTAATACATGCCACTGGGAAACATTGCAAAGATCGAACAACTGTACCTTCTCCACTCATGAACTTCTGAAAGAACTCATCCCAGGAGCTGATATCTGGAAGCCCAGGATTGTTGTTGTAGAAGTGGTAATAGGATACTGCTGCATCTTTTGGATTTCGAAATACCAACACTATCTTTTAAAACAACAAAAGCAAATGATGTCAAGTATCAGAAGGGGTAGCCGTGTTAGTCTGAATCTGCAAAAGCGATGAGGAGTCCTGTGGTACCTTATAGATTAACAGATTGATTGGAGCATAAACTTTCATGGGCAAAGACCCATTTTGTCAGATGCAAAAACAAATGAGTCTTTGGTATTTTAAGGTAACCTTTGAGCTCAAGGGTCCTGCTTTAAAACATACCAGCTCTTTCAGGAACTCAAATTTGTCAAATCAAATCCCAGTTCTGCAATGCAGGGAACAGGAGAACAACTTACTGACTTCACAGGGGCTCTAAAGACCAAGAAGGGCTATCTTACACAGATCACCTTGCTGGACTAGGATCTGAGATTTGACCTCTCAGCGTGAATTGCAGTGATCAGTAAAAATTAAATTCTATTTTAATTGAGAATATTTCTCATGGCCTGGCTAGAATTTTTGTTAAAATATACAAGAGAGAAAAATGATTAACTAAACATATCTATAGCTTAGTGGGTAAAGCATTTATCTGAGATGTGGGAGACCCACGTTCAAATCTCTGCTTTGGCTCAGGTTGAGATCTCTGCTTTCTTTGCCCTCTTAGGTTCTTCACAAAAAATAAGGTCTTGGATGTGGAACAAAACTAAATTCCAAAACCTTTCGAGTTTTTTTTGTAAAAGCAGAATTCTTCTTTTCCAAGCAACCTTTTCACCTAAACCTTCACACCTAAAACCTTTCTGAAGAAAATTGGGAGTTGCTTAGAAAGTGGATAATGACCTCCATTACTACCTTCACTCACTTACCTTCACCTTATTCTCAAACACAGCCTTGGGAAGATCATCATAAAGGAGATGCGTGGAAAAGATACGTGGAGAAGGTGCATTTTTTATTTTCTAATGTAAAACAGAAAGTGACAAAAGTGAACCATAATAATTCTTACCTTAGAGATGAAGACAATGTATAGGATCTGTACATTTACTCAAAAATCCTCTATTTTGCATGGAAATTAATATTAATATATATTGTTAAAAATTGTAGTCTTTATTCTTGTTTCTCATCATTCACAATGCCATTGAAGTGACATTTATTGTTAAAGCCTTCTACAAAATTGCAGTTTGAAAATACCCATTTTAGCAGAGATTTCAAAATTGTCCCAAAGTATATCTGCCCCACTTTTGTGCCCTTGTTATGTTGAAGCATTTGGGACTGCAGTAGCAGAAACAGAGCACACACTGGTGGCTCCTGCTGCAGAAAACACCCACCCACACCCTACACACATATACATGGACTTTTCTTCTGCCTGTACACTGTAGAGGAAAGTGCCATCGCAGACAGTTCACAGATGGAATAAGCAGTGAATTCACTGTACAAGAAATCTAATGTAGGGAACAGGAGAACAGACCATGTGGTCTACTCCCCAACTCTTGTGGTAAGAATTGTTTTCCAGCTGTGCACCAACAGCTACTGGCTGGTGGATGAGGATTCTTTCTCAGTGCCACAAAGTTGGCTCAGAATTTGCTTCATGTTATGAGGTCATGTAGTGCCTTCTATCTAAAATTCTGAAATATTTGCACGCGCTAATGAATTAAGTCTCCACTGGCTCATGAAATAAAGAAGTATTAATTCTGTTTTATTAATGAGGAAACTGTGCCCACAATTCAAGATGGGGTTGATAAATGGGGCGGAGGGGTTCAGAGAAAAGTCAAGGGAATGATTAACAGAATTAGAAAACGTGTTATAGTGATGGATTCAAGGAGTTCAATCTATTCAGTTTAACAATGAGAGTGTTAAATGGTGACTTTATCTTAGTTTATCAATATCTACATGGGAAACAAATAGGCTCTTCAGTCTAGCATAGAAAGGTATAACATGATCCAGTGGTTGGAAACTGAAGATAGACAAATCCTGACTCAAAATAAGTTGTGAATTTTTAATGGTGCGAGTACTTAACCATTGGAACAATTTGCCAATGGTCATGGTGGATTTGCCATCACTGACCATTTTAAAATCGAGATTGGATTTTTTTTCTTGAAAATCTGTTCTGGGTATTATTTTAGGGAAGTTCTGTGGTCTGTGTTATATAGGCCAAACTAGACGATCACAATGGTTCCTTTGGCATTATAATTTATGAATCTATATTGAAGAGAGATTAAATATCTTGCCTGAAGTCAAACAATATGCCAATAGCAAACTTGTGATTGAAGATCTCCTAACTTTGATGCCAATCTTTAATCATAAAGCCAAATAAAGAAGTGTGTGTGTATGTTTTTGTTTTCCTGAAAATATGTAGTCATGTACTAACCTGGAAAAATCAAATCTCTTTCTTCATTTTTATCTAGCCTCACTTCACCAGTAAACTATTTCATTAACTATTTCTTTAGAAAAGGAAAACTTTTTAAAACTTCTGTACTCAAAATTTACTCTCAAGAACAGACTCTGAAAATCCAGTACAACAGTAATAACAAACTGGGGTAAATGTTAGAGTTAAATGCACTTTTTTTCCTTTTTGTTTACAAAAGTCTATTTTACTTTAAAATTGCTCTATTTATTTGTGTTTTTATATATTATAATATAATTTTGGGTAGAAAAGGTAATTAAGATAGAATTAAAATCAAATTTCCTGATACAGAACTGTATAAACTATCTGAAAATTGTTTTATGTTTACATAACATAAACAAAATTAAAATATTGTATGCTAAAAGAAGTTTCATGAGTTAGTCTGTGCTGACCTGAAATTTTTCTGGAGTTTCAAATTCAAGCCCATATATACGTTCTTTTGATGAACCGCCTGTATTATTTGGTACTGCATTTATCAAGTCACTTAAAATGTGTAGAATCCAGTTAGTTCCTGAAACATAAAATAAAAGAGCCAAAGAGGGCTTTCCAAACCACAGATAGCAACATATCCATCATAGCTCCCATAATAGTTATTATTCTTGTGCTTCATATAACCTAGCAGGTACGTAAGTTTCAGACAGAAGTTTGATTTTTTAAGCTGAACATTTCTTTAATGACACACTGCACATGAGAATGCATTTTCTGTGCTTTGAACAGCTACAAGTTCTAGATATGCCCCATAAAAATCATACTTTCGCTACATTACTCTGTGCATGTAATGACCAGGTAAGGTAGGCATTTTGACCCAGATATGCTCTTCATTTTCACAGAGGAATTTAGATAACTAATATTTAGGCATTTAGCCAGAAAGAATACGATTCATTAGTTGGGTGATTAGTATACATACCTGAAAGTTGGGAGACTTAAGGTCAAATATCCTTCGTCTAATGGCTAATTATTTAAAAACAGTGGAACAGCTTCAACAGAGGAAATGGAAGGAACCTTCCTGCCACACACACATCAAAATTTCTTATAGTTTGGTGGTTAGTGCATTGAGCACAGGGGGAAATTGAAGTTGGGTCTCCCATATAAGTGCTGAGCTGAAAGTTATAAGATGGGTGGTGGTGGCAGCAGCAGCAGCATAATCACAGCTTCTGGTCAGATTTGGAATAGGACTTTGATCCAGTAAGCGGATTCTGAGTACACCTCCCAAACAGTGCCCATATTTGAGAGCGGAAGAAGGAAAACCTCTTGTTGTGACTTGATATGGGACTGCAGAAGTTAGTTAGCACAGTCATTCACTGAACAATCATTGCTTGCAATAGGCAGTCCAGGCCCATTGCTCCCTCCCAGATGGAGAACATTTGCAATACAAGCACAGAGCCCATAGTCATAACGCCGTATACAAAAATCATGCAAGTACATGAGCATCATACATAGAATCAGTAGAACATAAGAACATAAGCTTTCATTTGACACCTCACATGGCCCAGTTGGTACAGAATTTGGGGCAAACACCCCCTGGGGGTGCAACAGTGATCTGTCTGCTTCCTTTACAATCTAATAATGTGACAGGTTTGCGAAGGGAGCAGAGCAGGGCAGCAGCAGCCTCTGTCCGCAGGGTCCTGAGCTTCCCATGGAGAGAGGCTGCTTCACCATCCCATGGAGCAGCTTCTGTCAGTGGCATGCACAGGCCCGCCAGGGACAGAGGCTGCTTCGGCATTCTGCCTGTCTCCTGCACCCACTCCGCTCCTGCGCTGCTGCCTTTAATAGAGAGGCAGTAGCGTGAGGGGGCAGGTGATTCCACTGGATACAGGTGGGGAGTTAAACCCAGTTTCCTGCATGTACCAGCCCTTGCCTGCCCCCCTCACCTTCTATGCTTCTGTCTCTATCAGGGGCAGCAGCACAAGGTGGAGGCAGGTGGCTCTGCAGGATCCAGTGCTTGTAGGGAGCTGGATGAAAAACCAGCTCCCTAGGGGCACTGGGTCCTCACTCCCCACCTCCCTTGCTGCCTCTGATACAGTGTGTGGGGAGTGTGTGTTGTCATTTGGATTAACTGATAAAACCAGACTTATCAGTTAAGCGTCTAAATGACTGTACACTAACATATCTAGTAAGCACAGAAATTAACATATGCTAAGTTTCCTGACAACTATATTTTTAAGGTTGGTATACTGTTGGATGACTCTTTCCATTTAACTTAATGCAGCCAATAGTATCGATGTTTTGGTGCTATAGGATTCAGCATGTATCTGAAATTATCCAAGAGGAAAGCACACTAGTACTCTGCTTTCCTGTGACATATGTAGATTTACTGCATGTAGCATTTAAACTTCATTCTCCACAACAATCACCACATATCTGACACTTATCCTATTTATTTTTAATTTTTCCACCAAAAATATCTATACTCACCGCATTTAGGATAAACAGCTAGGAACACATCATCATGTCTAAATTCTATGGTGTCCAGTGCTTGGAAAGTCTCAGCGCTGCACAATCCAATAGGGTAGAGCACCCCCTTGTAGGAGAACAGCAGCTCTTCAGATGTTTTCCCTTTAACTTTATCCAAGTATTGCAATAGTTCCTGAATAACACTACTTTTAGCCATGGCTGGAGCTCACTGTGCCGCTTGCCAGCTGCTGTCTTTAAACACCGTGTCTCTAGCTTTCTTTAGGGTCTAGAGGCCGAAGAGAAACTTTTACGTGTGAATTTCTCGGCACTGTCTGACGGCGCTCTTGTTCAGAGAGGGAAACTGCAGCTAAAGAACAGCTCTGAATTACACACTCCTTGCTGTAAACTGCAACTGGTTTCAGACAGTATTGTGGATTACACTGAACATCAACTCTCCTCCTCTTCACACCAGTGTGTTGTGCTGGGTGGAGTCAGTCAATAGAGTTACTACTGGTGAAGAAGGGAGATAAATTATACAGATTCACTATCTCTGCAGGGAGTGATAAGAATCACCTGACACCTTTTTGCTGCTAGTTTTCCACCTTGTGTAAGATTATCTATGTGAGGGCACCGTGGGATTTGCTGCTGTAGAATCAACGCAGTTGGTTGCATAAAAACTCATTCACATGGGATGGGTCTCAACATTGACAGAAGGGAACAAAGTGAAGGCCACTAAGGTAGCTGCTTATCATGCTTTTAGGATCACCACGGTCTTATTAGGAGAGACTATGAGCCCCGCAACGTAAGGGTTATGCCTAAAGTTTTCCTATAAGCCTTTGAAGACTTTGTACAGTTGCTTATATAGGCTTCATTAGAATTCTGCTAACTGCATAATGAGCACGTTTCACTCTTAAAATAAGGAAAAGGCAAGAAATCTATATTTTTCATTCAATTTTAAAATTCCCAGTAAGGATAAATTGAATAATATTTAGAAAAGAACCCTCGTTTCCCCCCCCCCCAAATGGCTGACAGAACCAAAACAACCATGTGTCTGGGCCTGTTGATGAGTGCTTTCTCAAGGGCTGGGGAATCCCAGCTTGCTGCTCCTGATCCCACCTCTTTCCATCCAAGGCCCTATCCTTTCCAGGGGCAATGAGGTGGGCTCCCCAAATACCTTGCCCAGTGTGGCCTGTGGAAGCTGTTGCCTCCTCTCCTGCCCCCCCACCTGACAGAACCAAAACAACCATGTGTCTGGGCCTGTTGATGAGTGCTTTCTCAAGGGCTGGGGAATCCCAGCTTGCTGCTCCTGATCCCACCTCTTTCCATCCAAGGCCCTATCCTTTCCAGGGGCAATGAGGTGGGCTCCCCAAATACCTTGCCCAGTGTGGCCTGTGGAAGCTGTTGCCTCCTCTCCTGCCCCCCCACATGCTCCCCCCCTAAAGGAAATCTGTTACAAATACATGGTGAAGAAACAAGATGTTATTACTAATATGGAAAAACTGTGTGCCAGATATGAGTATATCACCTAATAGAAGGGGTGGGCAATAAATGACCAATGTGCCGGAGGTGGTTCACCAGGGTTAGCCCCTGGTAGGCCGCCCGGCCAAACCTTGACCTTGCGTTAAGTTATGATAAGAGGAAGCGGCCTACTTCCCATTTAAGAGGAGTTCTTGATCAAATAGACAAACTCTCTAAAATACACAGTAGATATACAGACTGTTATTCTCTTCTATGAAAGAGGTTATATTAGAAATCATTCATTCCAGATAACACTTGCGTCACTTTCTTCCAAATATTTTTCTTTTCTTTT